GTCGGCTACGCGTCATAGTTGGTCGTTCGTGTTCGACACGGCGATGCTTGTGCAGCTGTCTTCCTCCGGATTTGGTCTTTAGTGTCGTGTAACGTTTACCACTTTGGCCAGTGGTCGAACAACGGTTTCTGCCTGGCTGACCGTCCACCGCCTGTCCGATTGCGTCCTCACATTGTTGTCTCCAGCCGTCCCAGTCACCTCACTCCACTTGTAATTTCCATCTTGGCCATGTGTTGTTTCGTGCCCGACTGACCGACCGATCGCATGCCCAGTCTGTAGTCACTGTTTAGTGTGTATGGAAGTTAACCGGTTGGTCTGTCAGTTTGACTCTCTCTGACTCTGCCCTAGGGAGGTTTGTACCAGCTACCTGGCACGTATAGCTGTTACTTCAGGTCCATGACTTGTTTGGTTTTGCCTTAGTTACTAGCGGTAGTTTAGTCATTCGAAAGTGCGTGACGTCAGTATAGGCAGGTTTTAAAATACATGTGGAAATCACGGTATGCTCTTCTGAAGAGCAATCATGGAGCGGCCGCCTGAGACTCGGTTTTCGATGCACCTGACGAGAGACAAATTCCAGAATGTTTAGAAAAGTTCAGCGTTGTTGTTTTATGCAACAGTCGTCCGACCAGACGAACAGCCGTCCTTGAGGCTTCGTGGTGTGGTGTTTCGTTGACAGCTGTTGGTATTGCGCGGCGGCCGCTCATCCGTGCCACTAGTTTTTGACCGTGAGTGACTGAATTCCGTTGAGTAGCTGGATTTAAAGAAAAGCGGAGTGCATCTCTTCGCTTAATATTAAAATAGGCTATTACGAATGGCAGTCATTGAACATAACGAATTTAGCCCGGTATATTGTCTACTCGAAGTGGCAGTACTTTGCGCATCGGAAACCATGTTCCTCTTTCTAAACTAGTTGAAAAGGAACACCGCTCAGGTTGCGAAAGTTCCGCAATGTCTCACGAATCGATTTAGCCTTTGAACCGCAGCTGCTATTTATTATTCTCAGCATGGTGGTGTCATTAGTGTTCCAACACTCGTCAGACTCCCTTCTTTCGACATTTCCATGAGGTACTTTTAATATCATATCTACATCTCTCGTCCAAAGCTAAACTTTTGCTCTTCTCTTTCCTTTCCGTGAATCACAACATCGTCAACAGCGGTAGTTCTATCAAGTCTATGTATGTGTGTGTCTGCATTGCTGCCGTTTAGGCTATGCGCAGAGAGGATTCAGTTTTTAACTTATTATTAGCATCTTTGAAACGATGAACAGATTAGTATGATTTAAGTAATTTTTACTGCTTCTGCGAAGGAGAATCTTACGGCGATTGCAGATGTCCGCTTGATGTTGTTCTTGATGATTCGCGTTGTTCTTGACTCACTTTCCGCCTAAACATCGGCGGCTGGCATTTCCTTTTCTAGGTTGTGCTCGATTGTTCTTTGCTAGCAGATCTACAGGCTTGGCTCTTACTAGTCATCGCTGGGCGTTAGGAAGATGATCAAGAATAATTCTGTTAATCCAGATATGTTATATTAGTGATGTTACTCTGTGTAATGTGTTTCTCTGGGTTCGAGGATCCAGTTATTGACTCGACGAAAAGAATGGAAAAATCGAACACTCCATAAAAGTCTCATTTCTGTCGAGGTGAACAACCAACCATTCGATGATAGGAGCACGCATAAATGCGAACGCATGCCCCATTGCTCGGTGCCGTTGTGTAAATCCCGCGACATTCTCAGTAGTAGACCCTTCCCTGCCTGGATGTCACTGCCTTTGGAAATCACTGTGTCAGTTGGTCGGTGAAGGTTATGACGGACTTCAAATCTACGCAGGACACGTGCAACGGTTGAACGTCATGCCTTTACAGCTAAAGAACTACCCACGAACCTTCGTATGTTTTTTAGCTTTATCCTGCTTCAGTTAGAATGCTAAACGATTTTCCTCAGAACCCTCAGATGTTGTTACTCTCCGTTGAAGCCCGCAGAGGCATTTTGTGTAAGTACTTCGACCTCGTAGATTCTGCAACAGGGCCAATTTCTGGTACTGAATTTACCATTTTACTTTTGTGTACACAATTTCCGACGCATAGTTCGTTGCTTCACTCCGGTAAATTCTACCTTTGTCAGATTTTATGTATTTTCTTTTCAGATTAATGTTAGAATAGATGAGAGAAATTCGTTGGATAAAGATGAATAAGAATCGCAGAAAAATGTTTATAGTAAAATCTTCGACAGGTTTTCGTCCATCAATTACCCTCCTTTAAACCGGTTGCAGTGAGGAGTGAGGGTTTAGCAAGTTACAAAGATTAGCGGCGTATCTTGAGCTTGATTAAATAAAAAAGCTACTCGTTGAAGAGTGTATCCCTTTGTAGAAGTTAAAACAGAGTGAACCTCGCTTCCCAGCAGTTGGAAACTTACCTAAATTTCGTGATTTCCTGACAATGAAGCATAAGTACTTGGCCTATTTGAGTGGTTATATACTATGACAGATACAACTTCTAGTGTTCATCAGGACATTAAATCTATCGCTTATCGTTTTACAGAGATTCGTGGAACAGGCATTATAACTTAAGGTTTGAATATAACCGGTTGTAACAGGCATTGTAAACTAAAATTTATTTAATGATTGTTTTTGTGGTGTCCGATTTAATTGATTTTTGCGATAAGCATTGTATTTAATATGCCACGTAAAACTTGCTCTTTTACTCAAATGAAAAATGAATTATGGAAGCGTTTTTACCCGTTGGAATTCGCCGTTCTTTCTTGCACTTTCATAACGGGACAATTCTAGCAGTAACGAAGCCGTTCTTTTCATAAAGTTATCTTCATATCCATGCCATTAGTCTGGAGTGCCTTTGCATAGTCGACAGCATCAGTCTGTGACTAACAGACATTGTGTGTGTAGCGTCCTGTTTGCCTCCTGCGGGATGTTACCCATTTAACAGCGTCGGAAGGAAGAAAGACGATTGTCCACGCGAAGCGAAAATTGCCCATCTCTCTGTGTTTGCTCGGTTCGCTCCGGTACGAACTACGGTAATAATATACGGATCTTTATCGTTATCAATCATCAGTGGCACATCTGTGATTCGTAGCAGAGGCGACTGCCTCTTCCGAAAAATTGCATATTGATTACCTGCCGCTGAGACACGTGAGTGATTGTCCCCGTCGTTGGTATGACGTTGATTGTAGTCGTTTGTTCTATCAAGAGTTGGACATGTTCGTCTCGAGGTGAGGTTCGAGCGCTTGGAATGTTCAAAAACAAGGATGGGGAGTGAGACAGTATTGATGGACGGTGGTTTGCATGGGCGTGAACGCGAATTCGAGTCTAACGAGTCATACAGACAATCAAATCTAGCTAATTTGATTTTCTTTGGTTTTAGCCGAGCGGAGAGGTTGCAAAACAATATCCACCCAGTCGTCCGTTTGGTCGTCATCCGTTGCTTCTTTCTCACCATAGCTATGTGGTTCCTGTGTCGTTGTTTGAACGTTGGTGTGAATGTGGATGTGGCAGACGAGGAGGGCGTTGGTACGGTGGCCCTCCCTGCGACTGTGCTCAGTGCGTATAACGCGCCGCTGTCGATCGAAGACGATGTCGATGATCCATTCTTCCTCGACTCCACTGGAAAGATAGCCAAGGCGAACACTATTGGCAAGGATGCTGTCACAATGGTAAACCTTTTCTTTAACGTAGCTATGAAACTTTGTCGTGTAATTTACACATTTTATCCTACATTTCAGTTTTCTCTATGTATATGCGTAGTATGCATTTATATATTATTTGCTGTGGCTGATAATATCATCATACTTCAGCATAATTAACGTGGTTCCACACGTCATGTACGTGACGTACATTGAATGTATGAGGTCATAAGATGCACATGCTAATCGAAAGACTTGTATGCTCTATGATACCAGTAAGACGTTTCTTAAAATATATATGATCTCGGGTCAGTAATTTGTCAGTTTGAGCATTTTCTTCATTCGCGGTTAAAAATGCAATCATTGAGATTTAGCTTCATTTTTTGCGCTTTAGTTTCGTAACCATGTATCTAGCGAGTATTCAATTTTAGTAGCCTTTGCAACGAACGTAGCTATGCCCTGTAACTTTACCATACATATTTTTACGTATGTATATATTTGCAAAATGCTAACGGCGTGTGAGAAAACATTGTACAAGCATTTGCTTTACAGACATGGTGACTCTTTCACAGACGTTGTGAGGAACGCTATAAGTGATTGCTAGAGAAATTCTTTTCGGTTGGGCTGCTAGGTGTTATTGAATCAGTTAGGAGTACAGTAATACGCTGATATTTTACGCTGAATCGTCCATTGATATTTGTAGTTGCATAGATTTTGTATTTGAGTACTTGAGTACAAACAAACGAGGGACATGTCACAGCAAACTATGGGGAACATATTAGCCCAGTCTGTAATAAACCCCTGAAGCCATTTTATCCCTGACAGGTATGGAACAAGTCACACTTCTTGTTCGGCGTTTACGTAAGAGGAATATTCTGACAAATATGTGGATTAGGCGAGCTCAAGATGTGCCTACTCTTTACGCAAACGCTTAGCATGTGTATAAGGGTGATATACGATGATAGCAGACGAATCAACGCTCAACCATTCCCGGAGATGCACGTGCGTAATGAGGATATTACAGAGATTTCTTGATGGTAGTCATTTTTTCCTTAAACTAGCTGGCTAGAAACTGATCTGGAACAAAAGATACTCTTCATACCATACCTGTACACCTTAGAAAGCAGTTACGTTTTGTAGTGTAGAATGGAGTTGAGAAACGCCGTATGGATGGAACACTATCTAGTGAGATCATGCAAAACCATTTAAAAAGAAACCAACTGTGAAGCAGGAAATGATTGGAAATAATAATATTACCTTAAAGAATAAATAGCAAGTCAGCCACAAGAAAAGAAGTACGCATTCATCATGCAGCATGGCTATCGCTGCTTCTCCATCGTATGCTGTGATCACTGCTTCTCCGGACATTCCGTACCTAACTCACAGCCCTTTCTGAATTGACCTGAAAAACTCTGACCTCGGTTTCAGTCAAGACTCAGACAAAGTAACTGCAAACATGTGAGGTATTCTACGCATGATTTAGCATTATAAAATGCGAGATTCTTCTATATTCTGCTATCGGTTGGACAACGACTACGCATTCGTCAATCCATGCTAAACTCATTAAGCAATAAATGTAAAATAGATATATTTAGATAATAATCAAAGCTCTGGTTAAAGTCCAGTGCCTTTTTCTTTTGTAACCTTCTTTGGAGAGGCACCCTTTTCTGTCATATACGATATCTCTATAGGATCTCATTAAGGAGGCGTGCAAGGGCTTTTCTCCTCGTTAGGGCAATCGAGATTCCGAAGAGAAATCGTGGAAACTTGATTATTGTCCCGACAATAACTTATCAAGAAAGGTGTATCAGTGATCTACCCTTGGCTTTCAGTTCGCTTTAAACTACGCTTTGTCAGCTTGAAACTCACTCCTCCCGGTTTATGATATTGCTAACCATGAAACAAACAGTGTTTCGGTATGTCATGCTGTAGCACCACGATTTGGATGCCATTCATTTAATATGTGCAGTAAATATCTTAAATATCAAAAATTCGTTAGCAAATGTAAACCATGACTCTTTCGTCGCGTCAGTTTTAATTTTACAATAGCGACAATGGTTCAGCTGATGAAAGGGGGAGAATCGGTCTTCACCAGGTCCCAAGATGTACGTAGCAGCTCGATTTATAATAGTGTCACTCAGTCTGAAGTTGTTCCTAAGCATATCTGATTTACATAGCCACGCTTGGTATCATACCTGCCTGTATCATACCATTAATACAGCCTTTTGTGAGGCTTTATTATTTTGCACACGTTCACAGCTCAGACACTGAGCTTGAGTTTAAAATTCCTTAAACCTGCCTATGCTGATTGTGTGTTGTCAGTCACTTGCACAATATTTCTCGGATACCTTTTTGGTCTGCTATCTTTGTGGAGGAAACGGTTCTTAGTTTGTGAAAATTTCGAAGTCTTTTCTCTACTCGATTCCGGTACCCTCTCTTTACATAACACTGTTATATCATGTGAAGCTAGTCAGTTACAGAATGAGTCTCTGGAAGGCGGGTTCTCGCCGTGTAATCGCGGTAAACAAATTAACTGTGCAACAGACCGATGATTTTGCGTGTTGTTGGAGCGCTTGTGACCATTAAAGCGTTTGCAGCTTCGCTATTCGACTAATTAGAGCGAACTTGTTAGGGAAGACAGCGTTCGACCGGCTTCCGATGCTAACTCAACGCTGCTGAATTCACCGGAAATTGCCTCAAATTCAAAACGAGGTCAGAAGGCGAAAGCTTTTCTTCAATTTCCTCAAAATTTCTTCGTCGTAGCCTTTCACCGTAGCTTTGA